GCTAAAACTAGAGAATATATGTATGTACATAGATTTCTATTTCTATTTATTTTATCAGTCTCTACTTTACCACCTGTCTGCAGAACATCATGATTCCCCATAGTTACATTCAGTTCCAGTATGAACCCATGGGGTTCATTCCCATTCTTTCCCTAACTGGATTTGTAACTCTCTTCTGATAGTAAGACACCTGCTTCCTGTTGTATATTTACCTGCTTGGTCAGTCTTGATCTGTTCCCCATTTGTAACCAGTCCTCTGCTGCAGCCCCCTTCCCACACAGCGCCACCCTCCTCACGCTGTTTTTACAGTAGCATGTGCTACTGTTTGGACTGTGGCACCTTAGGCAGAGCTGCTGCTGCCCCTTCCTATCATGGACAGCATTCTCAACCACATGGACTCTGCCTCGCCGGCCCCCGCCCCTTTTGTGGAAGCCCTCCCACCCCTCAGGCTCTGACATCCCACGTCGAACTGCCTTCCAGATGCTCTTTGTACTCTTCTGGGTTCTAATACCATTGCTGGTCAGTCCCTCCGCTCTATATAGATGCTTTATCCCATGCGAGGCCTAACCCCTCGTTGCCCCCTTGAGTCATGAAACTCCAAGTCAGGCCTCCCCCATGGAGACTCCCTCCTCATTCTGCTTGGACACTGACTTTCCCTTACCAGGCCTCTCACTCTGCTTGGGCCCCAGCACACCATGCCGGATCACCCCTCAGTGGGACACTCTTCTCCTCCCACTTGGACTCTAACACCAGGTTGCCCCTCCGGGAAGGCAACCTCCTCTCCTCACCTGAGTCTGACGTCCTGCTGTGGACCAGCATTCTCCCGGGTGGTTGCTACGTTCCTCAACTTGGTCAGCCTCTCCTACCATCCCGGCCCCCTGCTCTCTTCCATACCTACCCTGCCTGGTCCCATCTCATGGCTTTGAACTGAACTAGTAGAAAGAGGAGTCAGAGAGCTCTTAAAAGTTTTTAATGGTTTTCTGTTTTAATACTTAAAGAAGTGGAATCCCTTTATATTCACGCTGAACTTACACAAGGCCAGTCATCCATGTGTACACAAACTCACCAGTTGGAGTGATTATTATCCCAAGTGGAGTGAGATTAGAAAAGGGATTCCTCTGCTCTCAGTTCAGCTCAAGAGCCAGCAGCTCACCTGGTCGACAGATTTAGATGCAGGATGCTGTCATTCAGCCTGACCCCACAACTCAGGCTAACTGCTTTGTGTTTACACAGACCATGTCCGCCGTATTTGGAGGGTAATTTAAGGACTTTTTCAGGGTGATTTTGACTATGGGCTGTTGCTGCCATAAGTGCTGTCTTTAGAACCTGCCCTTGCCCTCCTTACAAGGGCCGGTGGGACTCCAGTTTGGGAAGGCAGTGGGTGGAGGAAACTTCTCAAGTTTAAAACTTTTGACTACCTCACGTGAAACACAAGCCTCTCCATTTGACTCTCAGACCTAGGAGTGAGAGCAGAGCCTGGGACAGAGTTACCTGAACCACAGTGGGTGAGAAGGGAGAGAAGCCTGGATCCAGGCAGGTGCTTCAGGAGCAGGCTGTTCCCTTTTGCTTTTCTGTCTTCTGATTGGGTCATGATGATGCTCTGTGATCATCTTCTACATCAGTCCAAAAACCTAAACTAAGTAAAGCACTTGGGAAAGGCTTCCAGCTCCTTCCACCCAAACTGTTACTCTGTTGTGGATGTGTCTCTTTCTGATGAGGACTATAGCTTTCTTGAGTGCAGGACCCTTTGTGCCGCAGCCTGGGACAGAGCCCTCTGCAGTGGGGACTCAAGCCATCACACAAAGGCAGCAGGCAGAGGTGGACCACAGATGGTCACACCCCATTAGATGTCCAAGGTGGTGCAGTGTACTAGGGTGTTTGTTTCTGTCTTTGGACTGGGAAGGATTGTTTATTCAACGATGACAGACACACGCAGACTGGAGTGCAGGGTCCCTGCAGCCTCACCTGCAGCCTGGCAGACCGCGCAAGCTGTTGTGGCGGCTCTAATGAAGCAGGACAGGAAACGCCGCTGGATAGAGCTCTGCTGTGAACCCTGGCCTCTCAACAGGGGAAAACAGGGGCCCTTTGAAGAAGAAGACAGCTGGGTTTTGGTTTCAAAACCTTAACACTGCCATCACTAGATATTCATCTGTCAGTGCACAGGGGACAACATGTGGAAAACAGTTGTGTCCAGTCAGGCCAAAGAGAGAAAGAAATGGCTGATTTCCGGGATAACTGCAAAACTTCTTGTGGCTAGTGGTTCTGCTTAGCATAGCCAAAAAGAATTGATTTGGTAAGGCTGAGGCTGAGTATGGGAACCAGGGTGCCGTCTGTAGTGGGCTAGGAACTCCTTCCCACTTCATCTCCTTCATCCTCAAAGCAGGTGACAACGTGGAGGCTGGAGCTTCTGTGCCCAAGCCACATTGGTCAGTTGAACCTAGTCATCCAAAACTACTTCGATGGATACTGTAGTCCTAAACTGTCAGAGCACCCAGCCTGCCCCATATCACATCCCCAAATATTTCTAAAATGATTCAGTTTTTCTCTTGTTTACTTGAAGTCACAATTTTCTTGTAAAAATCTATTTCCCCTTCTTGCCTTTTCCTCCCTCCCTCCTGACTTTCTGGATTTAACTAGTGGTATTTTGCTTTCAGGAAAAAAAAAAATTTAATTTCCTAAATTTCCAGTGGCTGGGTTTAACTAGTGGTATTTTGCTTTCGGGAAAAAAAAATTTGTAATCCTTGGTCGAATTTGTTTACAAAGAGTCATCTAATCTGTGCAAGAGTTTTCTTCTGAGGGGATTTCTTGTTCATACTATAATGGCTTTTAACTCAGCCGAGGTTTATTTAACAGAATAGGAAAGGAGAAACTTATCTGATCCCTAATCCCTCTTGAATGTTTACATTACACTGCCAAAGTAAATGCTGTGCAAAGTGGCAGCAGTCATTTGCTGTGTAATAGTCAATATGCAGCTGCCAGGGCTGACTGAAACATATTAACATAAGTGATAATACTGTCATAGAAGTGAAAAGTTAAGTTGCTTATCAGTATATTTTGATAAGCTACTTAAATTTTACAGTAGCATGTGCTGGCTTTAGACAGACGTTACTGACAGAGGACTGTGCACTTTATCTGTTCTCTTTGTTGCCTCTCACTTCATTTATTACCCTCAGTGGCGCAGCCGGTAATCTGTACAGGGTGCTGATTCCCCTCTCCCTGGCAGGATATCACATCTGTGCGCTACCTCGTGTCCATCTCTGTCGGTAATGGACTCTGTTAGCGCAGCAGGGCAGACATGACCAGGACGGCAAGCGCTTGGTACGACCTTCTTCTCGCTTGCTGTTAGATGTAGCTTCAGAAAATTTCCTTATAGAGAACAAAGCCATTGAAAGTAAGTGGCAAAACTGCTTGGGGGTGTGGATACTTTTCAACAATTCCATAGGATGCATGCGCCCTTGCTGTCAGTCTTTGTCTGGTTTTATTTGCTCAGTAAACGCTGAGCACTGACGGTGTGCCAGGTGCCGTTCTTGGCACTGGAAAGACAAAGTGAAGAAAGATAGGCCCCTTCCTCTCTGTTTGCATGTGGTCTGTTGAGAAAACAGACATGCCATTGAGAACTGCATCGTCTGGGGAATGTTCTGACAGCAGCATTCTCATGACAGGGCAGCACAGAAAAGAGAGAATTAGGGCACATGAAGTGGGGATGGGGAGGGGGTGGGGGACCGTTAGGAGGATGAGTAGAAATCAGCTAGACTAGACCACAGAGGTTGGGGAGAAAAGGGCCCAGTGTATGTAAGCCTAGGCAGTCTCAAAGATGCCAGGATGTTCCCGGAGTGACAGGAGTGAGGGGAGCATATATCTATGGGGAAGTAGAGAGAGGACAGCCGGAGAAGTGGGCAAGGGCCTGGCAGTGAAGAGCCCCAAAAGTCCATCCTAACAAATATGGACTGGATCCTGGAGTGATGGGCATCATTGCAGGAGTTAAGTACAATGTGTGATGGAGATTTGCATCTTAGAAAAACCATTCTAAGAGCCATGGCCAGGTGGCTCACACCTATAATCCCAGCAGTTTGGGAGGCTGAGGCAGGCAGATCACCTGAGGTCAGGAGTTCGAGATCAGCCTGGCCAGTATAGTGAAACCCCATCTCTATTAAAAATACAAAAATTATCCAGGCATGGTGGTGCACACCTGTAGTCCCAGCTACTTGGGAGGCTGAGGCAGGAGAATCACTTGAACCTGGGAGGCAGGGGTTGCAGTGAGCCGAGATCATGCCACTGTAATCCAGCCTGGACAACAGAGTGAGACTCCATCTCAAAAAAACAAAACAAACAAACAAAAAACAAGCCACACAGAGTGGACCACAGGACTGAGGTCAGCAGCCAGGCTCCTCTGAGTGAAGGGGAGCAATGGCCAGGATCTGGTGGAGGGCAGTAGGGATGGGGAAGTGGAACTCATCTTGAAGTGGATAGAGAGATGGTGGGTGATGGGCAGAATGTCTGTTGCAGCAACATGGATGGCTTTGGGCTCATGGGGACTTTGGGACCCTTTGCAGATGCCTGCAGTGGGAATGCTGTGTGTATATCTCTGTGTGTGTGTGTGTGTGTGTGTGTATCAGTGTGTGTGTCTGTGTCTGTCCCATCATGAAAAACTGAATAGAATCTTTCCTGGCAAGGGTGGGTGTGCTGGGAGAGGCCAGGGGACTATTCAGAGATGGTGCCTGATTGTGGAGTCTGCTTTGAATTTCTTTTCTGTGAACTGTTCTAGCTCTGAGGCATGGGAATAATTTATAATGGACATTCAATCCTCTGCCTTACACAGGCAATTTTTTAAACTCTCAGAAATAATTAGCATTTCACCAGTCTGTGTTTCCACCAGTCTGTGACAGGAGGACTCTTCAGGATGTAGAGCAAAACTGAAATGTATTAGTCTTGAATTAGATCCTGGTTAAAATTTTTGACCTGCATACTAATATGTCATGTGTTTCCTCTTCTTCCTCCAGCTATCTCCCCTGGTTCGAGGTATTTTATAAGCTGCTTAACATCCTGGCAGATTATACGACAAAAAGACAGGTATTTGCCTTTTTAAAATAATTCTTTTTAACAAATAAGCTTTAATTTTTATGATGAAAAAGTAAAACATGCCTTATATTTTACCAAAAAAGTGATGCATGCCCATTATAGGAAGTTTGGGAAATTCAGAAAATAATAGGAAGAAAAAGAAAATCACTTTTAATTTGCCCCTACTCTCTTCCCTAAAATAAATATTGCTAGCATTTTGGGTTGTTTTCTTTTTTAAGTTTTTCTTTGCATTAAATAAATGATCAAGAGACCCTTAACATTCACAGAGTTAATGTTCACAATTTCTAACATCCCCAAGCAGCCCGGAAAGTTTGTGACATGTATTAAATTATAATTTTGCTGAGGCACATATTTGAATTGCTCATGTCATGATGCAAATCTGGGGTTTGCAAGTAAAACACTGAACTGGCAAGTGACCTACCCAGCTGTCCTGAGTTCCCGTTTCAATAAAGCTTTGTGGTGCTTTTGTGGGGGTCTGAAAATGACATTAAAAATTCATCTGTACCTTGCTGTACTTTTGGAAGAAGTGGTAAGGTAAGGTATCTTCCATGGATGTCAAAGGCCAATTGGACCTTTATGTAGATTTTTGTAGCCCACATTTTCAGATACCATTATAACGAGCGTGCCTCCCACACTGTTAAAAATGTTATAAATATTTTTCATGGCTGCATACCATTTTATCACGTACCTTGATTTACTGAAGCATTTCCTATTATTGGGAATTGTTAATTGTTTGGGATTTTTCTACTGTTATGAGAAGTGTAACCGTTCGCATCTATGAGAGTAAAGCATTTTCTTCATTTTGGATTGTTTCCTTAAAAGGAGAATCCCAGATGGGCCATTGTAAGGTCAGTGGACATAGACATTTTTAAAACATTTGCCAAACTGCTTTGCAAAAGAATTCTGCTATTTTCTTAAAGGATACCCTTTACCAGCAATGTAAGAGAGTGCCTAGGTCATGATACTCTCTCATCAGTACCATTTGTTGAATTCATTGTTTGACAAGTAAAAAAGTCTCATTGTTTTAATTGCATTTCTTTGATTGTTAATGAGTTGAATATTTGTCTATATATCTAATGTCTTATATTTTCCTTTTTGTATATGGCCTAAGATTTTTAATTAAAGTGATCCATTATTATTAAATGTTAAGGAAAGATTTCCCTTAATTTTTTTCTGTTGAATGTTCTGAGTAATTTGAGTGTTAGTTCTGAGAAATGGTCCATGAAAAGGGTACCAGTTCAGTCACACTGGGGTCCAGGGGAGGGAAAGCTGTGTTTCATTTCCATCTCCTTAAGATTCATTTAATGTAAGCTCTACGAAGTCCTGCATTGGAGAAACCTGGGTCACCTGTGCTTCCTATCTTGTTTTGCCCAAAACCCCTTTAATTCTGTGATAAATCTTAGCATTCTGAGATAGCAGAGTTTCCTGGAACACACTTTGGGAAATGCCATTTTGGAGGAAAGGGGGAAATTGTGTGTATAATGACTAAATCATTTTTTTAGAGACAGATTTACTTGCAAATGTATTCCGGAGGTCACAGTAAATGGAAAGAATAACTAATAGAAATGGCTTCCTTGATCACTACACTCACTGTGAAAAGAAGCTTAGATGTCAGGGGATTCTGTCATAAAAGAAGTGGATTACTCTTTGATGAATGAGTTAGGAGGTCACTTTGGGTCTGTTCATCGATTTCTGATTCACAGTTACCTTTAGTCAAACATTCCAGTTTTCACTCAAGTTTGAAAGGTGTCTTTAATAAATAGAATTGTGTAATATGTGGGCTCTTAACAGGTTTGAATTGGGGATTGACTCACATTTTTTCCCCTCCATATGTGCCAGTCCAAACAAAAGAGAAAAAACTCAGTCAAACAAAGAACTTAGTACACTTTTTAAAACATGTGATTCAGGAAAGATTATAAAAGGGTAGGTACAACCTACACATATTGGAAATGGATTATTACCCTGTAAAATTGGTGAACCTTTCCCCTGGGCCATTGCTCCAGCAGGACTCTGCCTCTTGGGATGTCAGAGGCTGAGATCAGTAACATGTTTTAGTTGGAATCTATTTCTCTTGAACCCAGGACTCTTTTTTTCCCCCTCTGGTTAAAAGAATTATGACACAGATGATAGGAAATCTGCCTACAACTGGCTTAATTGTTTGCAAGATTTTAGTCACCAGATTAGAACAGGAAGAGAGTTTTTATTTAAAGAAACAGAATCTACCTCCTGCACCAGGGCTGAAACCTTCTCTTATCCAAAAGTCATTGGGAAGGTTGGGAAGCAAGATAGGCTTCTATTTTGTCTCTCTGTCTCTGTGTGTGTGTGTGTGTGTGTGTGTGTGTGTGTGTGTGTGTGTGTGT